ATTATATATATATATATATATATATATATAGTATATTAAATTAATTTAACAAATTGTGCATAAATTAAAATCAAGCAACTGACCGAGGCCTTTATTTAGCAAAAGGGAAAAAAGGATAAGTGCACTTTATTTTAAAGCGCCCTTATGCATTAAGGGCACGATGGCTAGAGGAAACCCCCTTTCATTGGTTCCCTAAGGGCATGCTTATTTTTCTTAATGGTAATCCAGCCATGGGTTGGGGTTAGGCGTGGGATTATGGTGTTAAATTTTAGGTTAAAGGATAACACACCTTGAAAATATGTAGGCCCATGTTGAAGGATCTTATGTAACTTTAGAACTGCTTCTTTCCCCAATACAAGTACTGTATATGGGAGTGAAGCAGGTTAAATGTAGATCACCCACGTCTGCAATTAATTCTGAATGATCTCAAAAGCATCTCAAACTGATGTCAAAAGCACACTGCATTTGGTAAACCAAGTCCATCAACAAAAGACCTTACAGCCCCACCCCTCTTACTCTCGTTGTTTCATTTATAACTTCATTACAAACTGCAGATTAGCAAGCAGCCTGAAGCAGGAGCTCCAGCGTATGCCAGACGGTGCCCTTCTAAACCAGTAGGCTGAATAGTATTGCACATGTAAAACCATCTCTCTGTGGGCTTCCAAGTAGACAGCTTCTCCATAGGCACCTGTGGAGAAAAGGGCAAACATGTGCAACATTGTGCAACCTGACAGTTTAATAGGAGATAGGAGAACAGCGAGCCTGGGGTAAGCCATGGCTGCTGGACCAGGTCATCCAGTGATCCAGGGCAAGTAGTGGGTGATATAAATAAAATGGTGAGGCCAAGGCAGGCTTATTTGACAGTACTGTTATCCTGGTGACACACACAGCAAATGCACTACTTTTTTTTAATGCAGCACAGCGCATGGTATTGTGTCACCGTGCAATCAACGCATTGCAGGCTGGAGGTGCATTTGGGCAATGTATTGCACTTCCCACACTGTTAATGCACAGTAGGTGCATTGTGCGGTACCGTGCGTAAGCACACAGACCCAGTGTGAACAGCCCTGAATCACGAATACGATCAAACAAATTAAGATAGCCTACCATTAACATCAATAGATGATTTCACAATATCAATAAAAACTGTTGGTGGCAGGTTGCAGCCTGTTCCTCTAGCCCAGGGGTGGGCAACTGTAGACCTCAAATTGGTGTGGAATTAGAAGTCCCATAGGGCATTGCAAGACTGACAGTTGCAGGCATGACTCCTAGAGGCATACAGATACTCCTCACTTAACGACCTACCGGTTTAGCGACCGCTCGTACTTATGACCAACTCTCCGACAGTTCATGTGGAAACGTGGCAGCGGCAGAGCGGCATCTCACTGTCATGCATGGCTTCATCTTGCATACTCCGTTCTCCGCTCTGCTACTATTCTCAGTCAGTATTTGCAATACTGTATTTACAGTACAGTACATCTCCAACACTTCTGTATTTGTATAGTAAAGTATATGCATGGTTGTGTACCGACCACACATTTCAGAAACCCTAGGCCTTGTTGGATATCCTGATACAGTATCCAGCCCGGGATCTTTGTCAGGCCCAGGCAGTAGTGTGACAACTTACCGTACAGTATACAGTTCCTCGCTTACCAACCAATTCGCTTATCGACCTAGTCATAGGAACGGAACTCGGTTGTTAAATTAGGAGCATCTGTATTGGGATTTAAAGTTAAAGCACAGCTGGAGGGCTAGAGTCGCCCACCCCTAGCCCCAGGTCCGTATCGAGGTATGGACTTTCGGTTCTGGGCTGGAGCGGTGGAAGATGGGACTGGTACTATGGTGGTGCCATCCCCAGGATTGCCAAGTTCAAAAATAGACAAGGTCCTGCAAGGAGAAGCACCCCGTGATAGAGTGTGTCTGTAGGGGAGCTGTGGATTGTGACCAGGTTTCACCCTAGATCTGAGTGTAACACAAAAACATGGTCTAAAAAGGTGCAACTGGCCTAAAAAGTGATTTATTATGCCTGAAAACCGATGAGCGTGTGTCCAGCATTAGAGATGAATTAGGGGTTAGAGTGTATTGAGTAGGGAAGGGCTAAAACCCTTGTCAGCTGATTTTTGGCCCACTAGGCATATTTTTCTTCACTTCCTGTCCCAAAGAAACAACAGGAAGTGAAAGAAAATCTATACAAAGTAAGGGGAATTCCCCGCTTAGATGGTTGGCACCATCACAGGTGTACATATTGGAATATTTCCTCTCACCCCCTGTTCCGATGAAAACTGTAAAATTTGATTTCCTATCTCTTTCTGTTTTGGTGACAAATGGCCAGCAGGACAAATAGAGAGGTTGAGGACTTGTTCACACTATGTACAGAGACCTGTGCAATGCAGGTCTCCTAAGGGCACATACTGTAGAAAACAGTTGTTTTCAATGTGCCCCGTTCACACCACAACGCAGTGGGGAGTTATAGAGAAATGTAGTGCTATTGCCCTGCATAGGACGTGATGACGTCAGCTTGCCTCCGACCTCCGGAGCACAAGGGGTAAGAGGCTGCAAGCTGCAGTCTTGGAGCCAGCGGGTTTGGAGATCAGGTAAGTAAAAGTGCTTTACACTGTCCCCCAGACATAAATGAGCAGGTAACCCTTGCAGTGCGGGGGCAGATAGAAGAAAGCTTTAACTTTGAGAGTGTACACTCTCTTCAGGTCTTTGTACAGTAACCCCTAGTGTCGTCCAGTTCACTGGTAAAAAATAGATTGGGGGGAATTTATCGAAACTGGAGCTGGCAGAATTTGGAGTAGGTGCCCTTAGTAACCAATCAGCTTCTATCTTTCATTTTCAAAGCTTAACTGAAGAGAGAAGAAAATTGGTTACTATGGGCAACTGCTCCATATTCTGTCTTCTCCAGTTTTGATTAATTCCCCCAGTATGTCTGCATTCTCCCTCACATCACACCTACAGTGAGGTGGACATGAGATACATAGAAGACAATTGTTTTCCATGTGCTCTAGTGGTGACCTGCGTTTTTTCTTGTGCAGGAAAACACAGGTCACCGCATATGCTGCTAACATTCATCTGAAAAAAGAAAAATCCTTCTTTATGGTTGGCTTATGATGAATCTTCCACTAACTGCCAGCAATCCTTAAGTAATTATTAATCGATTAATCCAAAGTACACATTTCATGAAATCTGAGACACCGTCCTGTTTATATGTCTATTTGACTTTTCCACACATTGTGCCAGTGCTGACACATGTGACTTGAACTGTGGAATTACATTGTCCATTGTGGCCAGCTGTTGTTACAGAAACACACACACACTTCCATATTTAGTTCACATAGCCATCAAAGCCAAGCAAAGTTTTCAACTTCATGACCTTCATCACAATCCATTCCACATACCAGCTCTATGTAGAGCACACAAGTAACACTTATCTATATAGAAGAGAAAGGATTCTGATTGCCAGAGAGATTTCTACATTCAGTCCTCCAACACCAGAAAGAGAAGACATGACTCTCTCACACACACAATGAGCATGGATTTCTAAATGAAAGTGCTAAAATAACCTGTCCTGGGATTTCACGGATTCTGTGTCTTCTTTCCCAGCTGAGATTGTGAAATGAGAGCTCTAAGCTCCTCCACAGGGCTGTCCTGTGTGCTTAGACTCGCCCTCTCTTGATCACATGAAGCTGGAAGTAGCACATTGTAATCACACGCTGCTCTCCACTTGCTAGACTTCTGTGTCATGTTGCTGTACTGCTAGAACATTGGCCCTAATGAGTCCCTGTTATCACCCAATAACAAGTCAATCTACTCACAGGGTAGACCCATTGGGCCACTTGGTCTTTTACAGCTACTCTTTACTTGTCTATGTTTCTGCATGACTAAAGCTAGCCATACACGGTTAGAGTTTACTTTAAACTTTCATTCAAAATTTGCATAAATCGTTCCTCAGATTACTGAATCTTTCCATCACTGAGTTAACTCATTTAATTTGTAAACCCCTAAATATTTAGTCCAGACCTGCTACTTGAATGGAATCCCAGGTTTATTAAACAGGTTTCTTTTATTGCTTGCATCCAGGTGCGATCGTCCACATGTGTAAGGGCACAATGGCGGCCGCGAATGCGCAAAAGCCCAATATTGGGAAGCACGCCATAGTGCGCATGTGCGAGGTGCGCGGAAAGACGCGCGGACGGATGGCGCACAGAAAGTCGGGTAGCTGCCTCAATTTAGTGACTATGAGCCTGCTTGCTTCACATTGCTTATGGTCTTGTCAGCTAGTGTTGCCTGTTATCTGTGCCTCTGTCGATTTGCCTATGACCTGTTTGACTTCGATTGCCCTGGACTACTCTTCTGATTGCTGCCTGCCCCTGACGCCGGCCTGTTCTCTGGATTTGCTCTTGTCTGCTGATTTTGTGCTTCGATGCCTGCTGGATCTGATCTTTGGCTTCCTCGACTACGACTTCTGGCTCCTGAGTCTGTTCCTACGCTGTCCGACTGGTTTCCTGCACAGTGTCTGTCTCCAATCCGTGGCACTTATGCTCCTCGTTGCCCTGCGTCCTCCTGCTCCCAACTCCAGGGGGTCGCAGGACACGAGTCGCAAGAGAAGCCTCCCCGTCTTCCGGTCTCATCCTCAGGTACGTGATAACAGGTAATCGCAGCATGTGCAGTTATATGTGAATGTCTGCGGGCGATGGCAGTCCCAAGGGTATCCTGCAGCATGCCGCCGCACTCTCCTGTCCTCAAACAAGCCATCTGCGCAGAGTGACAAGTGATGTCACCAGTGCTTTGTGTAGATGGAGCCAGCTAGCGGTAGATTCTATGCGTGGTATTCGGTCAGAAGTAGCTGGAAGACAAGTGGAGATGCACAAGTGGCGGGGCAGCTGGAAAGCACTACATAGCAATGCGTTTCGAGGTGAAATCCTCTTTCTCAAGCCAGGAGAGGAAAATGAACAATGTAGAACTGTTGCCATGGAGCCATACAATGGGCTATTCGGAAAAACTGGCATATTTTACTGAGTGACCCCAAGTTAGGCCCTGTCCTTCCACCTAAACCGCCATAATGCTTAACCTACCAATTTATTCAACACAGGCAATCTGAATTTAGTGACAATTTTAACAACACCTATGCAAAAGCCAATTTATTACCAGCTCCCAAGATTATGTCATCTATGGCGTCCCTGTGGTATGCTATACATAGGCTGTACCACCAGCCCCCTCAGAAAGATGATATGTGATCACAGAAGATTTATTCAAAAGGGTATACTAGTACAAACCCTTTCCCGGCACTTCACCATAAAACACAACAAAAGGATTGAGGATCTCAAAGTTTTTGCAACCGAGCGCATCTCGTAACACTTCTCTCCATCAGAACCCTACTGGATATTCAGACTGAACACACTGCCCCCTGCCCCCCACGGGAATAAATGAAGATCTAGATATACACAATTATCTAATGGGTTCTAGCTTTCTTTTGTCATCTCCACTGAGGAGGTTCCAGCTCTCTTTCTGTCCTCACCACTGAGGAGGTTCCCACCATCCCTACACATTACCATCGACCTGTCCAGTTGGTACTTTTTCCCCTTTAACATTCCTAGGAGGTTCCCACCATCCTCATCTATTGCAACTATGTCAGTTATTATAGCCTTGTTTCTTTTTATTCTCCACTCTTCCCGGGCCCCCTGCTTCATCATATGTAATAGGCGGGCCTATTCCATATGATACCACGCTCAACCAGGAAGTACAAGCGAGCCGCACGCTGCATTTGACCGGCCGATGTTTACGATTTTAACTGTAAGTTTCTATGTTTTTTTTAAATAAACGTTTATATTGACTACACCATGAGGAAGTTCTCTTTTATGCTTTTATAAATTCCTGACGGACGGGACATTGCTGAGAGAGATACCAGAGATGTGGACCCTCTGATTTAATCACACGGCTTTACCTCCATAACAGTGGGGTAAGTGCGCACCCCAGAGGGGGAAATTTCTCTGGAAAACTTACACAGTGGTGTGGGAAGAATCGTGTTGGAAATACTCTTTTGTTTGGTTTTTTAAAAAAAAATCACTTTGAACTCATCACCAACCTGCACTTGGACTTGTATGAACTGATTTATAATGATTATGATATTTTAGCTGATACATAGTCATTTGAAGTTTTTTATAACTTATGCACTTTTTTATAAATAAATGCACTTTATTATAATTAATGCACTTTTTGAAGTTATCACTATTAAAGTGACACAGGAGTGATTTAATTGTCCACACTGAGGCCATATAGAGCCCACCACATATTTGCTTTATACGTTCATATGGTTGTTCATTTGATCATTTTACTTTATTAGTTTTAACACTTTTAGATATTGAATACACTGGATTTTAGTATTCTTCTCGTATAATATTAATTTCTAGCGCCGCACTTTATTAGTTTGACCCCTGGGTTCATAGCGTAGCAGGTTTTAGACTGTACTCACCCACAAGCGCGGATTTTAAAATTTTTATTTTATTATCTATTATTTATCCCATTTTTCCTTTTGATTTGATTTTGGTTTTATTCTCAATTCATTATACTTCTTCCTTGGGTTTATATTTTTCCCATCAGTCTGGCTTCATTTTAGCTTCCCCCTGGGTTCTGCGTTCCCTAAGTGTATTTCCTACTCATTTATTACTCATCCTACTCATTTATTACTCATAACTCTCCCCCTTGTCAAACTCTACATTTTAAATACTCCTGCCATCAGGTGCCCGCTTTTATCCCAATTTTCCCTTTTTATCCCTTTTCATTTTTCTTCTGGTTGTATTCTTGTTTCATTGTACTTTGGGAATCTATTTTTTGCCCCTCAGTCCAGCTTCATTTTAGCTTCTCCCTCGGATACTGCTCCCGGGCCCTGCAGTCCTCAAGTAAGTGTATCTTCTTTCTTTCGGGTATTGCTCATTCTCCATGGCCGCTTGTAGCTCCTCCCTGTCAAATTTTAAATTCTAAACACTCCCGCCACCAAGTGCCCTCCTTTTCCTCTCCTGGCTTGAGAAAGAGGATTTTGCCTCAAAAAGAAACCACTCATAGAAGCAACCGCCAGCCGGCTTCATCCACACACAGCGCTGTCAACATCACTTGCCGCTCTGCACAGATGGCTTGTTTGAGGACAGCAGAGTGCCATGGCGCGCTACAGGATACCCTTGGGACTGGACACCGTGTTCCCCACACAGAGACACCAGGCTATGGAAAATACAGACTGCTTCTGACCACATATTTTTGATGGGCACCGCTTCAAGACTCATAAGTGTGAATGCAATCTTTATATGATTTTAATAAATGTTTTTTAGTTTTACACGATCAGTTTGCTGGTCATTCTTGTGTTTTCATTGCCAAATGAGCTAGCCATCCTTCTGATCACTGTATACTGCAGTGCAACATTGTTACTTGTTACATCTATTTCCCTGCCATCCATTTACTGCACTCGGTTTGGGTGCTCTTTTCTTTCTTGTCTCCACAGTACAATTGCAGGACACCTCCATCTGCTTTACAAAGAGCTGCACATCATCAGTTGTATACTACCCATCTTCAAGCTGTTACTTTAGTTCCATCACAAGGACGCGCTCTAAATTACATAAACTTTAGTTTTTTCACAAATTTCTCCATGAGACTCATATGTTTAGCTGTGAGCAGAAGGCGTTGTACAGTACATACTCACCTGAGAAGGCCAAGGCACACCACAGGCCATTGGGGGGGGGGGTTGTCGGGGTATCACTTACCTGATCAGGCTCGGACCACAACCCAAAAATATTCATCTAAAAATGATTACAATACAGTACTGTAATATAATACAAAATATAAAGAAAAATAAACCAATTACAGGTACCTTCATGGCTGGTGTGAGGGAGACGAGAGAGGAGGATTAGGGCTTGTTCACACCAAGCGCGGAGCAGATCCGGACCAGAGCAGGTGCAGACCGGATCAAAACTGCGTCCAATGTATTCCTATGGTATTTTGACCTCCAGTTCACATCGCAGCGTGCGGATCCAGACCGGATGAAAAAAATGCCCTATTTTACCTGCTCTGGATCTGGTCTGGAACGCATCAAAAACGCATCTAAAATGAAAAAACGCATCAAAAAGCATGCAAGTGCCTGAAAGTCCATGTTAAACTTAAAAAAAAAAAATTGTGCCTTATTGTGTAGGACGACTTTCACTATCACTAAGGCCTTGTTCACACCAAATGCAGACCAGATCCGGTCAGGTTTCTGCACACGCAGTGTAGTGGGTTGTGCCGCGTTTTAGACGCGTTTTGGATGCGTTTTTGATGCGTTTAGGGCCGGTTTTGGTTAAAAAAATAAAATAAAATTTAAGTTTAACATGGGCTTTCAGGCACTTGCATGCGTTTTTGATGCATTTTTGATGCGTTCCAGACCAGATCCAGAGCAGGTAAAATAGGGCTTGCCGCATTTTTTTCATCCGGTCTGGATCTGGTCTGGATCCGCACGCTGCGATGTGAACTGGAGGTCAAAATACCATAGGAATACATTGGACGCAGTTTTGATCCGGTCTGCATCTGCTCTTGTCCGGATCTGCTCCGCGCTTGGTGTGAACAAGCCCTAAGG